ACAGTCAAGCATATTTTTTTTAATTTTGTAGATTGTCGGGGACACAAAAAACAGTAAAAAAATAAATTACTAAATAAATAATCAGCATTAAATAATAATAAAAAAATAATAATAACAAATACTTATTTAAATTTTACGTACTGTATACATGGGATTATAATCAACTGGAAAAAAAATCAAGGGCTATAGGGCAGGGTCCAGACCAGTGACTCCCTCCTTGTGTTCACCACTGACATTGGGTGGACCGCAACAGCTTGAAAATTTAGAAGTAGAGCAGACCCTGGAAAAGTTTGCCCACCCCTGCTCTAACCACTAGGCTAACCACGGCCCTCACTTGTAACCAGTTGATATATTATCCGAAGTTCCTAGTTTTTCGGAGAACCGGAAAATATATTTGATTGTTGAAATTATTCGAAACATGATGTTATTAAGGCAGAATCGAGAACGAGACTAGGCCCTGGGCCCGGTTCTAGTTGGTCCATGCCTTAAGATGTCCCTGAGAATGATATCATTTCAGTACTATAGGAATTAAAAATCCCAGTAATTTTCAAGTAGGACAACTTTAATCTTTCTTTGCGACCATGGATATCGTAACAATAATTTTAATGAACTAGATATCGTCAATAGCCTTAATTAGCTTCATAGAACTAAGTAAATAAAGCAATCAATTAATCAATAGCCAAAATCGAATGAAGTGGATGGAAAGTTACTACCAGAAAGTAAACAATTTTGTTTACGTCTTGTCATTTTTCCAAAAGGAAAAAAAATTGGGTTTATTTTCGAGTTTATCGCTTTATCGTGTTTGACTCTTTTTAAAATGCAAAAATACCTTCCTTTTAAAAGGAATTAGTAGAATTTGTGAAAATGATGAAAGAAAGCTGACTTAAACAATAAAAAGAAATTATTAAGAACAATACGTAAAAGAAAAATATATGCAGATAATATCGTCAACAATTTTTTGTAATACATTTCACTTTGGACAGAAGTATAAATTATTCAAAAATATCTCGTAGATTGTGAGAATATGTATTAAAAGAGCAAAAATACCATGAATAAAATATATCGATAAGAAAATATCTCAAAACATCATTATTAATACGAAAAATAGCTTATTCATTAATAATAATAAGAATATATATAAATAAGAAAAGCGACTCACTCATCACGATATCTCCGGAATTATTAGATCTACTGACTTGAAATTCGGTACGCATGTTTCTTTTGTTGATAGCGATCCGTTAAAAACTGATTTGGCGCTCTCTTCGTAAGCGTAGATTACGATGGATTAAGGTGGCATTATAAAGAAAATTCTTTTTCTGACATGTTAGACCTACAGCATTCAAAATCGATGCGTTTATTTTGAGTAGGAATTCGTTCAATCCAGATTTGAGATATTCATTCCTAAGGGGAGTTTCGAAGTTTTATGAGGACGTTGTAGATAAAATATTCATTTTTCTGCTATTAATCTTAGTCTTGAATTTTTTGGTAGCTATGCTCTTTTAATTGGGTAGAGATCTGCTAAGAAGTTTTGTGAAAATCGACTGTAAAGGCAGGTTACAAGAGCGTGTATAAATAAAAAAAAAATTGTACTTTTTACTATTAAACCTACAGATTTTGTATATACGTTTATTTGTTGCACACTGAAAAGCTCTACAAACGCGATTTTTGAAAATTGAGCCTCAAGAAGATTACGTGGCATACAGATAAAAGAAATCCATTTTGGGACTATTAAATTTACAGAACTTGAAATGTGGTAAACATGTTTATTTTGTTGAGTAGACATACAATAAAAAGGAGTTTGGGAAAAGGGGAGGCTTACGGGAGCGAAGTAGATAATTCTACTTCGGCTTAAGAATTTCAAGTCCTGTTCTTTTTAAGGCAAAACGTGAGGGCTATAAAAATGTTTTTCAGTACAATTGAACATTTAATGACTAATAATACTAATTTATAAACAATATATAGTTATACATTGTGAAGTACCCAGGGAGGTAGGTGGGTAATGTAAATACGTTAAAACAGGTAAGTTTTTATCAGAATAGAAAAATGGAATGCGAAGATACATTAATTTTAAGAAATGCCATCGCTTTTCATTGTTTTATTAAGAAAAATACATAAGAATAATCCATTACTTAACAAACAACAAATCATATTAAAGAAATTCTAAAAGTATATTTCCCTTACATTTTACAAGAATGTACATTTTTTTCTTCAAAAAGTACTACACGTTGTTGTTACTTATGCCACCTAATAGACAGTAACATCGGAACAAGGTCCACGAAATTCATTGCGGCAAAGGGCTAGATTTTTACGCATGGCGTTAGCCTTAGCTTTGAGCACCATGCAAGTGACAGTACGATTTTGCTCGGTTCCACCCCAGTTTTGAGGGAGAACACTTTGGGGGTGGTAAGGGATTTCCCACCTCTCTTTCCCTTCCACCAACCTCACGGAAGGACATGCGGCTCGACGGCTCTTTAGAGTACCCCCATGCGGCAAAGGCAATGTACATTTGCAAACATCCATGCTTTCTCCGGGATTCTAAATGTCATCCCAATTTTTATTTCATTTCTATTGTCTCGGGGGCTTAGAGGTAGCGTGCCCGCCTCGTAATCCCAAGGTTGAGTTTTCGAACCCGGCTGGAATTCATATACTTTCTGGATGCGAAAATCGTAGGCAGTCATTTCGTATGATTATGTTATTCGTATGATTGTCCTTTGAGTATCAATTTGTCTCTGGTTCTGTCGGCAAAATTAAATCATGGCAATATTTAGCATCCAACGAGAGCTCGAATAAATTCAAGTGTCAAAAGTTTGGTAGCGGGAGCCACCTCTAGATGGTGTCATCAATAAAATGACTCTCAATAACTTGCCGTGTCTGGAAAGATTTATCTACCAAAATGCTGCTCGTTTGATAAAAAAACATATTCCTTTTCCAAGGAATTTCTACATTAATGCTACACATCTGATCGCAATCAATATTTCGACGTTAGTACTGCAGTATGACAAGCGGGCATCTTATCTATACCACTTAAGGTGTGTTGGAAACCTAGAATCTTCTTATATGATAATTTAGAGATTTTTACATTTTCAAATTATATAGATTTCAAAACTTTCTTAGTATCTTACTTTAACCTCTTGGGTAATTAGAAGCCCTTAAAACCTATTTTTAAATAATCATTGAAACTGGGCCACGCCCATTCAAATGGTGAAAAATGTAAACAAAGTATTTTGGCTATGCTCAAAAGTTGAATGAATGATGGAAATCAACATTTAATCCAGAATTGCTGAAAAGTACACAAAATCCCAATGAAAGTGTAAACAGCGCGATATGGTCTCGTGTGCCGAAGGAAATATTTGTATAAATAGAAGTATTGTTATTGGGTACGATGCAATTGATGCAATTTCATCATTTAATATGGGAAATATATCAAAACCAGACATTTTGAGAAAACTTAACATTGAGCCTGGTGATTACACGGTACAGGCAATGGAGCGCCTCGACACACAGGGGCTGTTAAAGGCTTAATACTCATGTTTACAAAAAACAAAGGAAGTTAGGAAAGAAAAAAGACTTAAAAGGAAGAAAGAGGATGATGAGCTTCAAAAAAATGGAGAACATTTGGAGTATGAGGAGGAATGTTTTAATAAAAAATAATTATGCACTAAAGTGTGTGTTTTTCTATCTCAAAATGTGTAAATTTTTAATGTTCGATATACCTTTTCTGGAAAAATAATGTTCACAGGTATATGTAAGATTTTATGATTTATTTATAATGATGGCTAATATATACTGAAATGAGCTTTTTGTAAAAAACTCAAAAAATTATTTTTCTAGAAATTTTTTTATTTGAAAAATGGGTCAAATTTAACTATGTTTGATAAAATATTTTATAAATTATGAAAAAATTCAAAATTAGGTAAAAGCTCATTTCAGTATGATGAGAAAGATGTACTGTAATTGTATAAAAAGTTTTAAGCATGTACATATAACAGATTTTGAGAAAATGTACATCTAAAATAGCCAATTTAACATTGTTGGTATAGAGGTTTCAGACTCCCCCTTAAAACTGAAGAATATTGAACATCGTCAAAATATCAATATAATCATTCGAAAAACTTAAATCATAAAATTTAATGAGCTTTTCTGGTAAAACCCATTCATTAAATTTTTGTGAATGGACATAATGGTCCTTCCTTAATTATTAATTTTCTAATCTAAAGTCGCGCCATTTTTGAAGTTTATTTGTTTCCTTAAGCTCAGTCATTAGCCTCGTAGCTTTTCCGAAATAAGTTGCGCTCTGGTTTTTCGTTCAATAATTGGTTTCCAACAGATGGCAACACTCCATGGTGAAGTAGGCTAACTGTGGAGCCAATTACTCTTCTCGTTAGAGGAGTTGTGACAGAACTTCGTAAATTGGACTTTCTCTTCAAGACGGCGATCCTACTCTTAATTAAAAGCATTAATTAGGAAAGCCTTTATTTGAGACTAATATGTCTTGATTCTGTTGGAACGTTTTATATTATCTTTCATATTCCATTAACGTCATTTCACTTTCTTGTCAAGAAGTATTACTTCTGTGTGCGTTTATTATATTTTTAGAAAATCAATTCTCACAAATAATCTTGACATGCTTTAGTATAGTATAGCTCGTACATTTTTAGCTTGACAGGAAAAAGAGATTTGTTGTGGAAATATGTGTAACAAGTAATAAAAAAAAATTTTTAAGTCAATTACTACTTCGGCCAACAAAGAAAATTTTTATTTTAGTTACTTTTTATTGAAGTTAAAGTTAAAATAATGTATATATATATATATTTATGACAGAATCACAATATTAAGGGCCAAAATAAAAAGCAATTTTCCTTGCAATTTTCCATTTTCCTTTCTATATAGGGTGTTGGACTATTTTTTTTTGTTTGTTTCTATTTATGTGCATCAATTAAATTTAATTATTCTAGTAAAATAGTATAGTAAAAAAGAAATCGCATCCTCAGAAATTAGGCCATCCCAGGTGGGATTTGAACCCACGACCTTTGAGTTAGAAATTCAACGTGCTTTCCATTGCGCTACAGGAACACAACAAGCGTTTTTTCCTTTTTATATATGCTGTTGGATTTTGTGTATGTGTGTTACTATTTATTTATTTTTTAATTTTATTAATGAGTTGATATTTGAAAAAATTGTATTTACATCAAGTGTCCTCCACTACAAGTTTTAAAAAATGTTTTTGAACTTGAATGGATGAATAGAAAGTATTTTTATTAACGATTGAAAATTTGAACGATATATATAGGAAGAGAGTAAAATACATAAGCTATATATATAATTCCCATTGTCTTTTTTTTAACGGGCATCATATTGGCAAATCTGCCTTTCTAGACACAGCAAGTCCTGAAATATTACAGCCATTCCATGGTTGCACCATCTAGTGGTTGGTCTCGCTACCAAATTTGGACGCTTGAATTAATTTTAATTCGAGCTCTCGTCGGATGCTAACTATTGCAGTGATTTAATTTTGCCAAGAGTACCAGAGCCAAATTGATACTCAATGGATCTTTTACGTGCCACATAATCATATGACATGTGTGTTTACTATTTTCGCATCCAGCAAATCTATCGACTCCATCTGGGTTCGAGCTCGAAACGCACTTACGAAGCGGGGCCATAGTATCTCTAAGCCACCGAGCCGACGCTATCTCTCTCTTTAACGTTGTAATTCTTAATTACTGATGATAGGAAGTGGAAATTAAACATAGCCTTAGCTTCCGTTTATTTCCACTACAAAAGATCCATTGAAAGCAACCTCTATTACAAAAAATATTGTATCAATACGTAGAAAATTCTGCATCCTGATTTCGTGTTTCTAAAAATTATGATATTTTCGGTTTTCTTCAGAATTATCTCCTTTAAAAACTTTGTTTGAAGTTTACAAGTAGTCATGTTAAATTCAAATGTCTGTTTGGTTTTTAAAAAATGATTTTTCTGAATTCTGTAAAACTAAGAATATATTGATTACAAATTTTGAACAGTTCTATTCTCTTTCCCCATAAGATATCCGAACATGTTGAAATGATCAAATTCGATCAAAACATATTTTTTGTTTTTTATTTCATTAAACATATATATATATATATATTTAAATTTCTCCTAATATTATCCTTTCCTTTCCCTTTGGCACAGTGTATAGGCAAATTACAGGTGAAGGTTGGCTAGCCCTAAAACTTGTTTAAACCTGCAATCTTGGTTCTTAAGGTGAGGAGTTTGTTATTGTACTACTATGCCTAATATTTCCTATCTTTAATAGTTATACTTAGGTTCCATTGCTATCTGTATATATATATATACAGATGTGTGTGTGTGTGTGTCAGGATAATTAAATTAGATTTAAAATTAAATTCCCTATATAGCACTTAGCTTTTATTTTCCATTACATCTTCAAGTATTAAATTAATCTCCCAATTATTTCTCCGGAACAAAGGGCTTAACCAGTAAACGTTTCGAATCCCAGATCATTATATTTAATAGCCCTACATGTCAGCATTAACTTTCAAGTACATATCATAAAATACGACATACTTTACACATCTGGGCTTAAGTGGTAAAAACACTTAGATTTCACTGGGTTTGGGGATTCACCATCCCTCCTCATAGTATAATAGATTTTTGATTTTTACTTTAGAGAGTACACCTCTGTACTTCCATCTGCAGGTTTTTTAGAATATGAATCCCCTCTCCCAGTTACAGAGGCTAGTGTACGTAACTGTATAATGGTTAAAGATCAAAGGAAATATTTTTATAATTTAATAAATACTAATATATATATATATATATAATATATATATATATATATATATAACTCGTATATATTAACAATTTTCCGCAATATGTATTTTAACGACATCAATAAAGATGTAATTCAGATAATGCAGTAGAATGTTTCGAAAATAAGCGATAGGCTCTATTTAAATCTCTATCATGTGAATGTTTTGAAACGTTAAAAAAGACTGTAAACAGAAACATCAGATAAAGAAGTGTCTCTAACAAAGAAGAATCATGATAAAAGTAAGAATCAAACTTCGAAATTTCTCGTAAAATTTAAAAAAAATTCCAACTGTATGTTTTAAATTATTAAAAGAGTGTTTGGAGTTAATTTCATGTCATATAGTCATATTTTTGAATGGCACAGATGATTTTCGGAAGATTGCTGAAGATGATGAATGTTCTTGTCGATCTGTGACATCAAGAACAGGAGATTTTCGTTCGATATTAATGACATCATCATGATTGAATGGGTACCTCGAGACCAAATGGTAAAACAGAAGTACTACATTGAGGTCATGAAAAAGTTTATAGAATGAGTGAAGAGATAAAAAGGCAAGATCTATAAAGCAAGAACACGTGGCTTTTGCACCAAGACAATGCATCGGTGCTTATTGCGCACGCTGTAAAACAGTTCTTGTCGGGCAAACGCATTAATGTTCTCGAGCATCCACTTTACTCACCAGATATCGCACCATACATCTTCTACTTGTTTGTTAAAGTGAAAAATGCATTGATGGAAACACATTTTCAGTCTGTAGAAGAGGTGAGGGCAAAAATGGCAGAATTACCGAAGATGGAGACACCTAATGAGCCACAGCACTTCTTTGAATGATGGAAAACTCGAATACAGCTACCTATTTATAGAGAAATCGAGTATGTTGAAGGGGATTAAAAGGTATTTGTACATTGTTTTCAATAAAGCTAATTTTTAAGACTAGTCCGGTTATATTTAATTTTCACAGTAGTAGTTCAAAAGACAGAACCCAAAACAAAACCTTGGGAACAGCCTTTTACAAGATGATGTATTGAAGAAATGGAACTTCTCTAACGTTTATGTAACAATGCAAACTTTCAAAAAAAAAAAAAAATAGAGACAGATGGATCCTAATTTCTTCAAAATGTTTAGAATTTAAAGCCAACAAACGTCATCAAAAGAAACGTCAATGAAAGATTAAAAAACGTGTCAAGAAATATCAGAATGGTATCTTTCTTGTCTTTTTGACAATATCATTTTGACGTATTAGTACTCCTTTGAGTTATAAACGAGTAGAAAATTTCTTCTATGCAGATACCAGGAAGTTCTATCAACATTAGTTTGTCTCTCCAAGCGTTTTCATATAAGATAAGAAATAAATGAATAGATCTAATATTATCTAAATGAGGTATTTTAGCTTCTTTGTCTTTTAGAATAAAAATCATTTTTCCAGAAACGGAGAAAAGACTCAACGTGAAAGCAAATGTTTAAATAGGGCATGAAAAAAACGAGCAAGCATAGATTGAAATTCTTTTAAAGTTTCAGATGAAAAAGAATCAAGACCAGGATGTTTACTAGGCTTTAGCTTGGAGATTACGGTGTTCATTTTTTCATGGAAAAAAGGACCAGAATATGAAAAAACTAATAGTACTAGAAGCCCGTTGGAACAGTTTATGAAAGTTATTTTATATTTTTTTTTAAAGGAAAATTTTTTTGAAGACAGCTTTAGTTATCTTTTGTAAAGTATGAATAAGAACTTGTATACACTTTAATTAAGTTTTAATTTTGGGAGCTGAATACCTGCGATCTTTGTGTTTTTCAAAAACACTTTCTTTTAATCCCGAAAATGTAGACTTTTTTCTAAACATCATGATCATTCATAGGAATTTTTTTTTTCAAGACTTAAATTGAACAAAACTCAAAGGATCTTTTAAAAGTTTTTTCTATAATTAAGATACGCGCACTTAAATGCTTCTCTTAAATTTTTTAAGAACACGTTGGAGTGAGCTAGAGTTTTATTAACGTCACCAACTGCAAAACAACACTAGGCAGGTTTGTGTAAAAATCGTATTCAGTAGTGGGGAAAATTTTGATTTTAATAATATAAGAAATATGTAAGTTAAGTTATGTAATTAATCAATTAACAACACATATTTTAGATCTTTTTGAGTCATTAACAAGGGTTCCAGTTTTACCCAGTCCTCACGTTAGCACGGTGTGGGAATTCGGAAAGAAGAGTGACAGCCCTAGTGTCATCCTCATTTCTTGACCGAGATGAAAAATAATTATTGGAAGACAAAGGAGACCAACCTTTTTACAATGAAAAAAAGGACAAAAATTTAAGAAAAACACTTGAAATATTTTATTAATTCAAACAAAAATACATTAATTGCATTCTCTTTAACTATTTACTTAAACGAGTATTTTTCCAAAGAATGAATTTTTTTTTCAATATATTATTTTCTAATATATCGGAAATCTCGAAACAAGAAATATGTTCTTCATATGATCTTTACGGTAAGTGCTACAGCTAAAGTATCAACATTCAATCTTGATTACTCACTTGTCCAAAAATCATTACCAATTGAAAAAACTCTTTCAACTGCTTCATTAGTTCCAGGGTAGCACAACGTAAATTCAACAAGAATAACTAAATTTTCACATGAATGTGTTCATATTTGAAATGGATATATTTTCACTTATCTTTTATCGATTTCTCTCAACATCAGTGGCGTAACCTACACCCTCACATCATGGGGGGTTACGGGGGTAACTGACCCCAAGCCTGAAAAAGGGAAGCCCAATGGAAAAAGACAAAGAACTGTAATAACTCTGTTTTCGCAATGAGAGAGAGAGATGTGTCGTGAAAGTTTCAAATGTCATATTTCAATAGGCACTATTTTGATATCAGAACACTACACCCCAAATTGTTCTTGATTTTCGCCATGTTTAACTATAACATTACAATAAGGATATACCAGATTTTTACTGTTTGACACTGATTGCCATCCTTATTGGGCGTATGTTATAATTACTTTTTAACGATTTATTTTTATGGCGGTAACCCTATTAATGTCAGACAAAAAATTCGAATTTGTTACAAATTAACGTTTTCTATACTTTACTTTGTTTCCATTGCAGCTTCAATTTTCTGTCATAAAGATGGACATTTGAAACATTATTGGTAAGTACCAGGATCTTTTTTTAAAAGAATATGGAGGCTTCACTTTCAATTTTTGTGGAACAAAATGATTACCAAATTTGCCCTTCCTGTCTATTT